AAAAATATTTAAATTTATCCTTTATATATAAATACTTTTCTATTGAAACATAAAAGCATTTTTTTCTCCCCAGCAGGTCAAACCCTGCTCTTTTCAAGCCTGTAACACCCACGGGAAGTGGGGAATCACTGCTGGTGATTTCTAGCAGAGAGGATTAAGACAGAGGCACAACTGATTTGCCAACCATGCCCTGGCAGTGAAATGAGCCTCTGGGAGGAGATCCCGGGCATGGCTTGTACTCGTGTCATTATTTGTAATTATAATCCCATTATCTCCTGGCTCATGGAAACGGGGCTGGTGCCCTGATACCACGAGAACAGGGAGCTCCAGGTCAGGCCTGGCAGGAGCCAGGGATGAAACCAGCTGGGGTTGGGGTGGGCAGGGGAAGGATCCTCAGCCCCATGGGATGGGGAAGGGAAGGATCCTCAGCCCCACAGGATGGATCCTCAGCCCCATGGGATGGGATGGACAAGGGAAGGATCCTCAGCCCCACGGAATGGGGAAGGGGAAGGGAAGGATCCTCAGCCCCATGGGATGGCAAAGGAAGGATCCTCAGCCCCACGGGACTGGGTTGTCCTCACCCCAAGGCAGGACAAGGAGGGCACCCAAAGCCTCTCCCCAAATTCCTGGGTGCTGGAAATCTGCTCCAGACCCCTGGAGCTCCCCCTGGCCCTGGGTCTGCCCTCCGGGGCATTGTTGGGTTTCCAGGTTGGATTTTTCCCTGAAGGGAAAGGAAGGGCCCAAACTCTTGTTTCCAAAGTGGTTGAGGAGCAGCACCAGGCAGTGTCTGTGTTTACAAGAAAGGCCAGTGGAGACAGAGCCTTTCCATCCCACCTGGAGAAGCCACAGGAATGCAGATTGCAGGGCAGGGATGGGGCTCCCTCCGTGCCTGCTGCTGCCAGGAGGAACCAGCACGTGGAATCTGGTTCAGCTCTGCAGTTCAGAAACACTCTGAGTAACATTTCTGAGTTTAAAGTCCTTTAAGATCATCAAATTCAGGTGCAGGAGGACCCAGCATTTGCCCCCTCACTTTGCTGTGTGCTCTGTTGCACTGGGTGAGGAGCTGGATGCAATTCCTCAGTTGTAAAGGTATTTAATGTGAAATCCTGTGTGTGACCAGAGAAAGGTATTTAATGTGGAATCCTGTGTGTGACAGAGCAGGGGCCGCTGTGATGCCTCAGAACAAAGTGGAACATTTTGGGGTTTTGGTGCTTTGGAGCTCAGACAAGTGGAAGGAGGAAGTTCAATTTTGTGCTGAGTAGGAAGAAACTGCTGAGGGTGAATCCCGACCTTGTCCTGAGATGAAAGATTCCCGTGGGCTGGGATCCCACCCAGCTCCTCTTGCCCAAGAGCAAACAACGTGCCCAGATCCCTCCACCCGCTGTCGTGGCAAGGGCAGGGAGGTTTGGGGTGGAAGGAGGGAGGGCTGAATGCCCAAAGGGTGGCTCAGACCCTGGGCAATGGTATAAAAGTGCTCAGAGCACAGAGCTCCTCAATCCACTCAGTCCACTCCTCTGAGCTTCTCCTTGCTGGTCAACTTGGTAAGTCTGACTTAAAATCTGACTTTAATGTGGATTCATGGAATGGTTTGGGTTGGAAGGGACCTTAAAGATGGAGATTTCTGGAATGATAGAATGGTTGTTTTAATGTGCTCCTGTCTGAGCACTTCCTGTGGCTTTGCCTATTGTTGGTGGAGTGTTTCTTTTCATTCAAATCAAAGGGTTCTGGTGCTTCTTTTGTGCTGGCAGGGTTTGGAGGGAATGGGATTTCTAGGGGAAGCATCAGACTTCAAGAAATGATAAACTCATGGAATGGTTTGGGTTGGAAGGGACCTTAAATCCCATCCCATTCCACCCCCTGCCATGGGCAGGGACACCTTCCACTATCCCAGGTTGTTCCCAGCCCTGTCCAACCTGGCCTTGGACACTTGCAGGGATCCAGGGACATCCCTGGAATAACCTGTGCCAGGGTCTCCCCACCCTGCCAGGCAGGAATTTCTTTCCAATCTGTCCCAGCTGAGTCCAGGGCAGGGCTGGGAAGTGGCTGATCCCCGAGGTCCTTCCAGCCCCAGCCTGCTGGGATCCCAAGGGGAACCTGGGGAACGTTGCCCGGTGTGACTGACGAGGCTCCCTTTGTCCCCCCGTGTGTTGCAGCCTCTCTCCAGCCCAGGATGTCCTTCTGCAGCCAGCTGAGCTCCCGCTGCTCCCTGCCCTGCCCGCTGACGTGTCCCCAGCCCGTGGCCGACGCCTGGAGCCAGCCCTGTGTCACCTCGTGCGGGGACTCGCGGGCCGTGCTCTACCCCCCTCCCGTGTCCATCGTCTTCCCGGGCCCCATCCTGAGCTCCTGCCCCCAGGAGAGCGTGGTGGGCACCTCCCTGCCCGTGGGGCCGGCGGGTTCCTTCGGCTGGGGGAGCTCTGGGGGTGCTCAGAGCTCCTGGGGATCCGGCGCTTCCCTGTCCGGCCGATATTCCTACCCCTGCTATTCCCGCTATTCCTCCTACCGTGCCGGGAGCTGCAGGCCCTGCTGAGGGACCTGGATTCCTGAGGATCAGCAGGACTCGGCCCCAGCAAACCCTCCCAGCCCCTCCTGTGCTCTCGGGATGAAGTTCTGCTGTTGTTAAATCCTTTCCCTCCCTCCATTAAAGTCGATGTTGCAGCACAGCCTTTGTTCCCTGCTTTCCTTTCCTCCTCACCTGGAAACTCTTGGCCAGTGGTGCCCAAGTGATGCCCCAGCTGAGGGTCAGGCCCGTTGGGGGGTCCATCCCAAGGTGTCCTGGCTCCAGGGGGTGCTGCCCATTTACCCTCGAGATGGGGATGGCCCTGAAACCTTCTGTGAGATTTGTGGTGGAAGGGGGGGATGAGG